TTCTTTTATAGTTGTGAAAACTGCTCATATTTTTATAGGAGGCAATAGACAGGGGGGAGTGCTCCCTTAAATCACAATATATGATGTTTTTTAGAAGTCCCGCTTAGTTTAAAATATAGACATTATGTAGGTTATATATATATATATATATATATATATTATATTCTTATTTTATTATACTTTGCTCAAATAATTAATGAGTGTTTTAAATAAGGTAAATATTATACTTATTCTCTTCGAGGTTATAATTGGAAACATGTGAAATTTTTTATAAAATCAAGATTCTAACTAATTTTTGTTTAGAATCCTAAACAAGTTCACAATTACTAATATTGTAGTTAAAATGGAGTATTTTTTAGGATTAAAGGTCATTTTTACCTCTGAACTGTACACAAAAGGTTATAAATGCTTATAAACTTGATTATAGGTCAATTCTATCTCTCAATTTTAAAAATTTTTTTCCTTATTATCCTATCATATTCTTATCGTTAGTAGACCCCACATTATATTTTTAATATTTTTATTATAAATATTTTATTTGAAGGGTAAAAGTGACTCTTTGAATAGAAGTTGAGGGATAAAAATACCCTTGACTTAATAAAAAATATTAAAAATAATTGGACTCACTGATAATTAATGGACATTAAGTGTTTTTTATTTTAGAGTGATGATAAAAATAATTTTTAAAATTGAGAAATAGAATATTTGTAACTTTTGTATGTGCAGTTTAGGAATAGAAATTAACCATAACCCTTTGTTTTTTTAAACAATGATTGATTGATGACATTTTTTAATACAAGTGTTAATGACATTTTAATAAAGCATTCGTTGGATAGACTACTTTTTGAATTAAATGAAGATCTCGAGAGTGGAGAGAGTGACTTTCCGCACTATACCTACCCATGATCTCTCATCGGATTCTCCAAAATTTGCTTAAAAGCCGTCTGTTCAGATCAAACCAAAAACCAATCCTGCTCGTGGCTTGCCTTCAATTTTCTACTTTCTTCCTTCAAGTTTGCTCTGAGTCGTTTCTTCAAGAAAAGTTTAAACCATAAAAATAAAAAAAATAAAAATCCTTTCGCTTCTTGTGATTTCTTGTGCCGCTAGCTTTCCTTCCAAGTTTAATTTCTTCGGCTCATCAGTTTATTTTCTTCAGAAAGAAAAAATTATACGTGTTGTAATTTCTTGTGGCACCTCAACTTTTCTTTCAAATTTATATTCGTTATCAGCTTATCTTCAGAAAACAGAGAAGTAGCTAGAGGGAGCTTATATTGCTTTGAAGAAGTTTGATCCTTCAGGGAAGTTAATAAATCTGATCTGCCAATTATCTCGCGCTCGCCTTAGTCTTGTAAAGCTCTTCAGTATTGTTCTTGCCTGGTTTTCTAGTTTGTTTTCCATTCCTCTTGTTACCCAAAAAGAAAAAAAAGGAAAATAAGTTTGATATTTGGAGACGCCGTACGTCCATATCAGGCAAGCCTAGCTAATACATTATCTTCGTCTCTTACTTTTTACACTTCCATTTGCTTGTTAGTTTTTAAGTTTCTTTCTTGATTATTTGCATTTTTCCATACCAAATATGCTGAATCTTGTTAATGTGTAACATCAAAGAGCATTTGGTTCAATCCAAGGAAGGGAGGAGATGAATTTTAATGATTGCTTGTTTGGTTGAAATAGGGCGCTATTTTAGGGAGAATAAAATGAAATAAATAAAGATAAAATGAAAATGATCAAAGGAGATATGTCAACAATAGAAAATGATAATTATGTTAATGATTTATGAGGTTTGTGAATGATGCAGTAATTTTGGTATTAGGTTTTATTATATTTATTCTTATGAAGAGGTAATTTAATTCATTTTTACCTTTATTTTTTTTATTCCATTCCAATATGCTCCAACAACCAAACCATCTTTGATGATTTTTGTTTGGTCAGGAGGAATATATCCTTATATTATTTTAAAATAATTTATTTTTTGTAGTTGTAATATATTACTTTATATAAATTTAAATTGAAATAAAAATTTATTCAATTTTAAAATTGTTTTACCTTATTTTAAAATATGTTGGTCCCGTGATGAATTTAAAAAGGTAACCCCTATATTTGTATTCTTTTTCAAATGATAATTTACCTTCATTTCAAAATACGTTGATCCCATACTAGATATGAGAAGGCAACATCTACATTTATACTCTTCTTCCAATGAATCTGAGAGGACATTTTGAAATTGAGTTAAAGAATAAATTTTTAATTAAGTTGTATCCCATAATTAATTAAAGAAGAAAATTTATTCTCCAACAATATTATTAGACAATAATATAATTTTTTAATATATGGATTATTTCTCTCAGTCTCCTCTTCGTCAATTGCTTGTTGTGGTGCCAACATAAAAAACCAGAAATCGAAAAAAGGGCTACATCCCTTCTTAGCGTTGTCAAGCAAAGTTGAAATCTTCAGAAAGAAATGGTGAGCATACATTTCCGACGAGTTTCTTTCCTGATGTCTACACTTTTTTATTGTTTTCTACTTTATGTTAATTTTATTTCAGTCATTTATATTATATTATCATTTAAATATTCACTTATGAAAATAGATCTCCCGCCATTTTGATTTAGAATAAAATACATTCATCGTCTCTCTTTTTTATCTTAATTATAAATATTTTCTTTTTATTTTAAAAAACTTATTCATATGTCCTATAAAATCAATAATATTAAAACACAAGCTCCTCTTTATTTTAAATATTTCATTTTTATCTACCAACAATGTTTGGTTGGAAGGGAGGGGAGGGGAAAAAATTTTTATTAAAAATTCCTCTCCCTTATCCTCGAACTGAATAGAGGGCTACTATAATTTATGTTTATTTTTTAAAAAAATTATTAATTTTATAATAATTAGCAAATAACAATCAAATGAAACTATTTATTCTGCCAATAAACCTTTCAAACAATGGAACATTCTTCTATTTCATTCTATTCCACTTTATTTCATATTTCAATTACCGTTCTGTTTCGTTAATGTTTGGTTTGAATGGATGAAAAAATCAAAATAAAATATTAGGGAGAGAATATTAGGAGAGAAAAACAGTCAAATAATTATAATTTTTAGCCATTTTCTAAAGCAATTTATAACTTTTTTATTTTGAAAAAAATGCTTTTCATATGGCAATCCAGACAACCATACCCATGGCATGACAACGGCCGAACTTGGGCTGAGAGTTTGGCCCTGTCCCTGGAAGCCATATCCAAGGCTGGTCACACTTGCCGGTGTTATATGCCCAATTTTTATAAGTCCCCGAAATCAGCTAAAATCAATTTTTATATCATTCTAAGTCCTGAATTTTTATAAGTTTTTAATTTTTTGAAAAATATAATAAAATTTTAATTTTAATTCTATTTAAATAATTTTTAATATTCTCTTTCATAATTAATGAGTTTAAATATAAGTAATATTATAAAAACATAATTAAACCTCATAGTGTGCCTCATGTTAAAAATCAAAAAATATTTTTAGAAAGTGTTCTGTAAAATACTCCTTCCAGTTTAAAATATAAGTATTACCTCTCAGCTAATTTTGGTTAAAAAAGTATAAGCAACCTGGTATATATAATTTTTTTTTCCATTTTCTCTTGTATATATTAATCTAGATATTTATGTAAATATATCTCTCATTCATGATAAAGTGTATTTGTAATTGAAATGACAACCCAAAAAAATTATTAATAAGGGCAATATGTATACTAAATAATAAATGTTATTACTTTTTTTAAAAAATATAATTCCAAAATCTTAATTAAATAAATATACAAATAAATTACATGAGAATTTTAAAATATATATTAATTTCATTTCTATCATAACTTTATTTTTACAGTAAATAAAAGATAAGCTATATTTTAAATATGTGTATCTTTGGTCCTCTAATATTATAATATGAGGATCCATTTTGGTCTCTTAATTTATAATGTATCTTAACCCTAATATTATTAGTTTCACATGATTATTTTTTATGCCAATCATTGCTATTTTTAAAAATTTAACTTAATATATTAGCATTTTAGAATGTTTTGTTAATTAATATTTAAAAGTTCAATGTAAAAAAATTTTGTTGATCAAACTAATGGTGTTAGAATTAAAAAACTAAAAAAATATTTTATAAAATTAAAGGATCAAAATCAAACTTTGTGTGAAATTAAAGAACTAAAGGTAAACTTTAACCTTTTAAATATATATATATATATGTCTGTTTATTTTAAAGAGAGTGTGGGGTAATTAATTTTTTATAAGGACAAATTTCAATTTTAAAAGGAAACAAGTGTAATTTTAACATGAAAATAAGTAAATTTTTTGCTTATTCAATGGGGGCAATTGCCCCCTCTATTGTGAACGTGGGTACGTCCTTGGGTAATTGGGATTGGGGAATGGAATAAAAATATATTATATATATATATATATATTTTATGAGAATAAAAACTTTATTATTATACATATTTTTTAAAAAAAATTGCTTATGTTTTGGATCAAAGAAGTAGATGGGCGGAAATGCTCCCCTCAAGTCACAATATATGATGTTTTCTATAAGTCTCATTTAATCTAAAATATAGGACATCATATAGGTTATATATATATATATATATAAATTATACCCTTACTTTATTATGTTCCACCCAAGTAATTAAGGAGAGTGTTTTGAATAAATTAAATATTATATTTATTCCCTTCAAAGATATGATTGAAAATATGTAAAAAAATTTAAGACATCAATATTTTAATCAACTTTTTTAAATCCTAAATTAGTTTACAATTACTTGTATTGTAGTGAAGAGAGACTATGTAATTTAACAATGATTGATCGATGACTGATGTTGTTAATGACATTTTTTTAATACAAGTCTTAATGACATTTTAATATAATATTTGTGAGATAAACTATTTTATGAATTAAAAGAAGATCTCGAGAGTGAAGGCAGTTTGACTTTCCACACTCTACCAACCCTGGCCAGCTCCCTTAGCTTTCCCATAATATCTCTCATCGGATTTCCCGAAATTTCTTCAAAGCCGTCCGCCCAGATCAAACCTAAAACCAATGGCCTGCTTGTGGCTTGCCTTCAATTTTCTACTTTCTTCCTTCAAGTTTTCTCTTTGAGTCATTTCTTCAAGAAAGTTTAAACTATAAAAAATTTCAAAAAAATCTTTTGCTTCTTGTGATTTCTTGTGCCGCTAGCTTTGCTTCCAAGTTTAATTTCTTTTGCTCATCAGTTTTTTTTCTTCCCAAAAAAAAAAAAATCCTTCTGCTTGTTGTGATTTCTTGTGACGCTTTCTGCAGATTTCTTTTGACTGTCAGTTTTTTTTCTTCAAAAACAAAAAATCCTACCTGTTGTAATTTCTTGTGACACCTCAACTCTTCTTTCAAATTTATTTTCATCATCAGTTTATTTTCTTCCAGGAAAAAAAAAGGAAATAGAAAAGGAGAGGGAGCTGATATGGCTTTGAAGAAGTTCGATCTTTCAAAGAAGCTAACAAATCTGCCGATGATCTCGCTCTCGCCTTAGTCTTGTTAAGTTCTTCATCAGGATTGTTCTTGCCTGGTTTTCTAGTTTGTTTTTCCATTCCTCTTGCTACCAAAAGGGGGGAAAGAAAGAAGAGAAAAGAAGAAAAGAAGTTTGATCTTTGCAGATGCTGTGACGTCCATATCAGGTAAGCCTAATATATTAACTTCGTCTCTTACTTTTTACACTTCCATTTGCTTGTTAGTTTGAAAGTTTCTTTGTTGTTTATTTGCATTTTTCTATACCAAATATTCTGAATCTTGTTAATCTGTAACATCAAGGAGTGTTTGGTTCAACCCATGGAGCAGAGGAGAGGAATTTTAATGACTTGTTTGGTTGAAATAGGAAGTTATTTTAGGGAGAATAAAATAAAATAAATAAATAAATATTAAAAAAATGATCAAAAGAGATATGTCAACAATAGAAAATAGTAATTTTGTTCATGATTTATATATGAGATTTTGTAGAATTTCTTGGTATTGGTTTTGGTTTATCATGTTTATTATTATGAGAAGGGTAATTTAATTTTTTTTATCTTTATTTTTTTATTTCATTCTAATATGTTCCAATAACCAAACGATCTTTGATAAAAATATTTTAGTCCAGGAGGAATATGCCTTTATATTATTTTATTTCTTTTTTCTTTCTAACAAAATTATTGAACATTTTATCTGAGTAATATATTATAAAACTTTCAAATTTCTAAATTTAATGAAGTTAATTTAAAAATAATTGAACATATTATCTTATCCAAACACTACGTTAGAGAAAGGGAAAAAAAACATTTCTCTCGCAGACGAATTTTCTGATCCCACCTTAAATTTTGAAATTGGGATCATTTTTAAGGATCTGAAAATAAAAATTTTAATGTAACTGCACAAATTTAATTGTTTGCATGCTAAATGCTAATGTCTTAATATTTGTATTCTCACAGTCTCCTTTACGTTAAACTGCTTTTGTCCCTCAACTACTGTCAGAGTACGGTTGAAATCTTCATAAAAAAAGTGGTAAGTATTCATCTTTAATATAATGTTTTCTAATCTTATATTTGTTTTCTAATCTTATATATGCTGGATTTCAATTTCAATAATTAATATCATCCTTAAAATATTTAAAGTTATAAATAATAGGTGTAAAAACAATTTTACCCCTCAATTTTCTCCTAAAAAGTTATTGAGGATCTTAAAAATAAGGCTTTTAAATTATTTTTAAACATTTTAAATATGTTTTAAGACTATTAAAATTCACACACGCACGTGGAAAATTTAATTTATTAATTATAATATATAATAATTAAGAGAATTTATTAACTATAATATAATAATAATTAAATAATAATATTAAAATTAATATATAAGTTTAATCTAATTTAAAACATAACTAAAAATAAAAAATAAAAAATTAAAAATCAATCTATGTAATATATTACATAATATATAGTGTGTGTATGTGTAAATAAGCCAACATATTATTTAGAGAGAATGATGGTTATGTTTCAAAATATTAAATTAATGCTAGTTAAGTCCCTGAAATTTTAAATAAAATAACTTGAAAATATAAATTAAATTATTAAAAATTCATGATTTTTAATTATAAATAAATATTTAAATATTAAAGGTAAGTTTTAAATTATAATAAAAAATTTTATTTATAACTATTTAAATTAATATTTATAATTTATTTGTAAAATTTTTTATCAAATATCTAACTGTCATTAATTTATTTTTTTGGGACGTTATTTTCCTATTATTTATAAATTAAACTTAATAAAACTAAGCTTAATTTATTTAATTAAATAAATTTAATCAAATATGTAAATTTAACTTCAGTTTATTTAATAAACGAATTAAATTGGGTCTAAAATATGTCAGGTTGTAGGTAATAATGATAGGGGCTCACCTGCTGCCGCTCCTAGTAAAACATAAAACGCCTATCATGTCATAAACATTTTTTAAATAACATTTTTAATTAATAGAGATTGATGATTGATGTTGTTAACGTTAGTGGCATTTTAATATTTGTGAGATAAATTAGTTTACGAATTAAAAGAAAACCTCGTGGGTGGAGAGAGCTTGACTTTTCACGTGACATCAATGTTTTTAAAATCAAATTAGATATTAAGTCGAAAGTTAATGATTTATGCTTCACATAAATCAATCACATTGGATATTATTGATATAATAATTAAATTAAAAAATTATATATATATATATATATCATAATTTAAATATAAAAATAAATATAAAATTGTTATTTAATTTAAAAATAAAAATAAACATTTTAAGTTTATAATAACTTAACAAGTCACATGATACAATATAATATTAAATGGTCAAAAGAATTGGTCATTTTTTAAGAAAAATTTGGTAAAAAAAGAGGCATTTTTTGAACAGTTTAGTTTTTAAAACCGGAATTAGTTCTCAGCTTGATTTCAATTCTCAATCTGACCATCAGTTCAAAGAGGCTTAATCCGACCCAACTCTTCAAATAATTTTTTTAACTTGATTGAATCATTAATCTGACTAATTGACTATTCAATCGATCTGACCGTATGATTCAATTCAATTTTTAAATCACTGCGTGATACCAACTCTTGCTACCCCCCCCATCAGGCCTTTCCCATAATCTCTCATCATTTTGCTGCAAAAGCCGTCCATTCAGAGCGCACCAATCAAACTACTGTTTGGTGCTTGCCTTCAAATTTTTCTTTCTTGTTTCCAGCTTTTTTTTGTTTTTTTTTTTCACTCGTTTCTTCCTGAAAAGTTTAAACTATCCAAAAAAAAAAATTCCTTCTATTTGTTGTGATTTCTTTTGCCACCGTAACATTTTTTCAGATTTCTTTTGATAATCAGTTTAATTTCTTCAAAAAGAAAAAAAGAAAAATCGTTTGCTTGTTGTGATTAATTTCTTGTACGCCGCCACAACCTCTGTTTCTAATTTCTTCAGACCGTCCGTTTATTTTCTCAAAAAAAAAAAATCATTTTAATTTGCTTGGCGTAATTTCTGGTGCCTCTACAACTTTTCTTTCAAATTTCTTTTGATCATCAGTTTATTTTCTTCAAAAAGAAAAGAAAATAAAAGAAAGAAATAAAGGAGAAGGAGCTGCAATATTGCTTTGAAGAAGTTTGATCTTTCATGGACGCTAACAAAGCTTCTGATCATCTCACTCGCATTAGTTAGTGTGTTTAGTTCATCCAGGAGATTTTTCTTGTCTGGCTTTCCAGTTTGTTTTTCATTCATCTTAACTTGTTGCCAAAAATTTTGCTTAAAAAAAGGGCTTGTTGGCAAAAGGGAAGAAATCTGATCTTTGCAGCCCTTTTTTGGTCGACGTAGCACAGGAGACCCAATAGAGTGCCTCGCAGGGAATCAATTTCTGTCTCCGATCTTCTCGTTATAAGGTATGAGGAATGGATCCTCTCTTTTTTCTTTCATCCTCTTCCCCTTCTCTTCTTAATTTTTAATCATTTGATCTTTATTTGGATGATTAAGATTTAATCTCCTATAAAATATTTCATTTTAACATTATATTTAATAATAATTTTATAAAAAAATAAAATTTAAATCATTTAAATCTTGATCTAATAACTCATAAGAAAAAAGAATGGAAGAGAATGAGAAGTGAAAAGGAAAGAATCCTCTTCCCCATCAAAATTTATCACTACAGTTATTTTAGAGGAGTTAGTTAAGTTATTAATTTTGTTTAAAAGTATAATAAATTTTTAATTTTAACTCTATTTAAATAAAATTTTTAATATTTTATAATTAATAAATTTAAATATAGATAATATTAAAAATATAAGTAAACCTTATAGTATGCCTTATATTAATAATCGAAAAATAGTTTTAGAAAGTGTCCTATAATATAGGACCTCCAGTCTAAAATATAAATATTTTTTAGTTAATTTTAGTTTAAAATATAAGTAATTTAGTACAAGTAGTTTTTTTATTTTATTATCATATTTATTAATCTAAATATTTATGTAAATATATCTCCCACTTATAATATAGTGCATTGGTAATAGCTGCAACAATAGGCACAAAAATTTTTTATTATTAGGGGCAATATTTATACTGAATATAGATATTATTAATTTTTTAGAATATAATTATAAATATTAATTAAATAAATATGTAAATAAATTAATTAAAAATCAAAGAATGTAATAATACATAATATGTGTGTAAATAAATTGCTTTGTTATACTTGTAAGTTAGGCTTTATAAAAATATACATGATTTATTTAAATTCAACTTAAACCTATACAATAAATAAATTAGAGTGAAAAATACCTCATGTGTAGGTAATGGTAGGAGTTGACCAACTTCCACTTTTAGTAAAACATAAAAGGCCTATCGTGCAATAAACAATTTTTAACTAATATTTTTAATTAATAAAGGTTGATGATTGATGTTGTTAATGGTATTTTAATATTTGTGAGATAAATTATTTTATGAATTAAAAGAAGACCTCGAGAGTGGAGAGAGCTTGACTTTTCACGTGAGACCTAATCACATCAGGTCTGTCCCCTAATCCCATCAATTCTGCCAAATTTCCTTCAAAGCCGCCCACTCAGATTAAACAAATCAAACTACAGTTTGGTGCTTGACTTCAAATTCTTCTTTCTTCTTTTCAGCTTTCTCTTTCACTCGTTTCTTCCTGAAAAGTTTAAACTATCAAAAATAAAAAAAATAAAAAATAAACTCCTTCTTTTTTTTTTAAGCAAAAAAAAAAATAAAAAACCATCCTTCTATTTCTTGTGATTTCTTGTGCCACCGTAACTTTTTTCACATTTCTTTTGATCATCAGTGTAAAAAACAAAAAGAAAAATCGTTTTGCTTGTTGTGATTAATTTCTTGTACGCCGCCATAACTTCGGTTTCTGGTTTCTTCGGACCATCAGTTTATTTTCTCAAAAAGAAAAAAAATCATTTTAATTTGCTTGTCGTGAATTCTGGTGCCCCTGCAACTTTTCTTTCAAATTTCTTTTCATCATCAGTTTATTTTTTTAAAAAAAAAATACTTCCTCCATCATAAATTATAAAATACTTTTAATAAAATTTTTTTATTTTAAAATATAAAATATTTAAATAGATTAAAATTTAATTAACTGTATTGATTTTAATTTCATCATTTCTCTCTTTATAATTAATTTTTATCACTTCTTTTTTAATATATTAAATAATAAATATTTTTAAAAATTTATATTTTTATTTTAAAAAAATATCGTTGTTAAATATATTTAATAAAATTTATTAATATGTGAGATTTTATTTAAAAATATTTTATAATTTAAGACAGAGGATAATAAAAAAAGAGAAGGAGCTACAATATTGCTTCGAAGAAGTTTGATATTTCATGGAAGCTAACAAAGCTTCCGCTCATCTCACTCGCATTAGTGAGTCTGATTAAGTTCATCCAGGAGATTTTTCTTGTCTGGCTTTCTAGTTTGTCTTTCATTCCTCTTAGCTTGTTACGAAAAAGAAGAAATTTGATCTTTGTAGCCTTGGTCAACGTAGCACAGTAGACCCAATAGACTGCCCCCGGCAAGGAATCAAATATCTGTCTCCGATCTTCTTGTTACGACGTACGATGAACTACCTCACTACAATTATCCCACTAGAATTCAGGAGAAAGAGCAGCTAAGGTATTAATTTTGTTTGAAAAATATAACAAACTTTTAATTTTAATTAATTTTGTAAGAGTTACATAACATTCTCTCTCACTTAATGAATTTAAGTATAAATAATATTAAAAAATTCATATCTGCTTTATATTAAAAACTAAAAATTATTTTTAGAAAGCATCTTATAATATACTCACTTTAACTCAAAATATAAACATTTTCTTTCAGTTAATCTTGATTTAAAATGTAAGCAATTTAATACATGTAAATTTTTTTAATTTATTTCTTGTATTGGTTAATCTAGACATTTATGTAAATTTATCTCTCATTCATAATAGAATGCATTGGTAATTAGAATGAGGGATAAAAGGAAAAATAATATATATTTTTATGAGAATGAAGACTTTATTGCTATACAATTTTTTCTTAAAGTTGGCTATATTTTGGATCTGAAGGATTAGAGTTGAAGGATTAGAGTGCTCCATGAAATTATAATTTATGATACTCTCTTTGTCCTTATATATAAAATATTTTTAACTGAATTACATAAACCAATAAAAGTTGGTTATTTAATTAGAAATATAACAATATTTCAGTTTTTCCCAAATTATTGTAAATACAAAATAATTTTTTTTCAAAATAAATTAATGAGTACTTATCTTTTTTTTATAATATAATAAGAGTATAATAGTTTATTATTAAAAATTATACTGACAATCTCATATATTCTGGGATAAAATATTTTTTAAAAAAATCTCTTACATATAAGGATGAAAGGTACATTTTCTAGAAGTCTTATTTAGTTCGAAATATAGGATATTGTGTAGGTTATATAAATATATATATATATATATATTAATTATACCCTTATTTTATTATATTCTACTCAAGTAATTAATGAGAGTGTTTTGAATAAGTTAAATATTATATTTATTTTCTTTAAGGTTATAATTGGAAATATGTGAAATTTTTTTTTAAAAAAATTTAAGATTTTAATCAACTTTTTTGGAATCCTAAATTAGTTTAGGATTACTTATTGGGATTGTTTATATTGTGGTCGAGTAATTTTTTTTTTAACAATGATGGATTGATGATTGATGTTGTTAATGACATTTTAATGTAGTATTAGTAAGATAAACTATTTTATGAATTAAAAGAAGATCTCGTGAGTGGTGAGAGTTTGACTTTCCACACTATACCAACTCATAGTCTCTCATCGGATTCTCCAAGATTTGCTTCAAAGCAGTCCGCTCAGATCAAACCAAAAACCAATCCTACCTGTGGGTTGCCTTCAATTTTCTATCTTCCTCCTCCAAGTTTTCTCTCGGAGTCAATTCTTCAAGAAAAGTTTAAACTATAAACAATTTAAAAAAAACAAAAATCCTTTTGCTTCTTGTGATAATCTTGTGCCGCTAGCTTTGCTTTCCAAGTTTAATTTTTTTTGCTCATTAGTTTATTTACTCCAAAAACAAAAAATCATACCTGTTGTAATTTCTTGTGGCACCTCAACTCTTCTTTCAAATTTATTCTCATTATCAGTTTATTTTCTTCAGAAAAAAGAAGAAAATAGAGAAGGAGAGGGAGCTTATATTGCTTTGAAGAAGTTTGATCTTTCAGGGAAGCTAATAAATCTGCCAATTATGTCGCTCTCGCCTTAGTCTTGTAAAGTTCTTCAGGATTGTTCTTGCCTGGTTTTCTAGTTTGTTTTTCCATTCCTCTTGTTACCCAAAAAGAAAAAAAGAAAAGAAGTTTGATCTTTGAAGACGCCGTACGTTCATATCAGGTAAGCCTAATACATTATCTTCGTCTCTTACTTTTTACACTTCCATTTGCTTGTTAGTTTTTAAGTTTCTTTGTGGTTGATTTACATTTTTATATGCCAAAAATTCTGAATCTTGTTAATCTGTAACATCATGGAGTGTCTGCTTCAGCCCAAGGAGGAGATGAACTTTAATGGCTTGTTGTTTGGTTGAAATAGGGCATTATTTTAGGGAGAATGAAATGAAATAAATAAATAAATAAAGACAGAGAGAAAATGATCAAAGGAAATATGTCAATGATTTATGAGGTTTGTGAATGATGTAGTGATTTTTGGTATTAGGTTTTATTATGTTTATTATTACAGAAAGGGTAATTTAATTTATTTTTATCTTTATCTTTATTTTTTTATTTCATTTTAGTATGTTCCACAACCGAACGATCGTTGATAATTTTTGTTTGGAGGAATATGCCATTATATTATTTTAATTTTTTTTGTTTCTTAAAAAATAATTGAACATTTTATCTGAATAATATATTATAAAACTTACAAATTTCTAAATTTAATGAAGTTAATTTACAAATAATTGAACATATTATCTTACCCAAACACTATGGTAGAGAAAGGGGAAAACACATTTCTCTCGCAGACAAATTTTCTTTCCCCACCTTAAATTTTAAAATTAGGATCATTTTTAAGGATCTGAAAGTAAAAATTTTAATGTAACTGCACAAATTTAATTGTTTGTATGCTAAATGCTAATGTCTTAATATTTGTATTCTCTTCCAGGTCGAAAAAATATTTGCATTCTCGTAGGTTCCGTTACGTTAAACTGCTTTTGTCCCTCAAGCATTGTCAGAGTACGGTTGAAATCTTCATAAAAAAGTGGTAAGACTAAGTATTCATCTTTAATATAATTTAGCTTCATTCCTGTGTTTATTTATTGAAGTTAATTTAAAAATAATTGAACACATTATTTTATCCAAACGCCACGGTAGAGAAAGGGGAAAACACACGCCTCTGTCAGACAAATTTTCTCAAAAAATAATAATAAAATCTCTTTAAATTATGTAAATGACAATTGATCTATTAAAATATCACAATACCAATAAAATTTTAGAGACTTTTTTGTCATTAAAGAATTAATTTAAATGACCACATTGTCCTTAGTTCAAATATTAATTGCTATTCACAAGTTTTGTTTTAAGATTTATAATTTCTCTTCTTAAAATTACAATAATTCAACAGCAATTTATAAGTTTGTATTTGAAATTTTGATATTCCTTAAGTGTTCTAAATATCAATTACCATTCATAAGTTTTGTTCTAATATTCACAATTTTTTTAAAATCATAAAAATGCAATAACAATTTGTAAGTTCGCATTTGAAATTTTGAACTAAGAGTAATTTAGTTATTTATATTAATTTCTTAATAACAAAAAAGTCCCTAAAGATTTTATTAGTATTATGACATTTCAAGAGATTAAATTATCATTTATATAATTTGAAGGAATTTTGTTGTTGTTTTCTCAAATTTCTTTCCCCACCTTAAATTTTGAAATTAGGATCATTTTTAAGGATTTGAAAATAAAAATTTTAATGTAAGTGCATAAATTTAATTTTTTGTATGCTAAATGCTAATGTCTTAATATTTGTATTCTCAAAGTCTCCTTCACGTTAAACTGCTTTTATTCCTCAACCAATGTCAGAGTATGGTTGAAATCTTCATAAAAAAGTGGTCAGCATTCATCTTTAATTAATATAATTTAGCTTCATTCCTGTGTTTATTTGTTTTCTAATCTTGTATATGATGGATTTCAATTTCAATGATTAATATCATCCTTAAAATATTTAGGGTTATAAATAATAATATGGAATGATATCTTTCTCGTTTGATGTTCCTCATGTTTTTCTTAGAAGGTTAATAATTTTAGGATTAAAGGATAATTTTACCTTTAAGCTATCAATCCAAGTATAGTTAGGATTCTAAACTTAAATTTGGTACAATGTTACTGTTTGGGCCTAAAATCCTCTTAGACAAAATTGGTGTGTGTTTTGTGGCAATTTAAGTGAGAAATTATGAAAAAAAGGGATGAAATATGAAGAACGATGAAGAACAAGTGACAGAAGGTGAGATAATGGAAGAGGATGGCTTGAATAAATAAATTTGATCTAAAAAATGATGAAGAGGGACGCAGAATGGGATACTTCAGCTCCCAAAAGATTAAAATAAAATAAAATAAAATGCAAGTGGATTTAAGTCACCTAGAAGAGAGGCTTGTAAGGTAGTATCCTTTTATTGGCTTATAAATGATTCCCATGTTAATCTTATACTTCATCCACATTTAAAATAGATCTATTCCATCCAATGGCAGTCCATGCACGTCCCACACAAATCAGATTTGGCTTGGTGAGGCTTTGACCTCATTTGCCAAATTAACGCATAAGTCACATATCACCTATTTCACAAAATACAAATAATTTAATTTAATAACACGTGATATCATAAAATCTAATTAAAGTGCAGCTTTGTATTCATATTTAGACGGGAGAATTTATTAAAATATCCAAGTCTTTAGGTGCGCAAAATCATACAAAAATTTCTACATAAATGCAAACCCAAAATCAGGTCAAACAAACACACTTGAGAAAGTCAATAAAAAGTGTTGACTTTTATTTAATTAATCCTGAACTAAAATGAATTTGTAAAATCTAGTTTAACCACTCTTTTTCTACACTTAAAGTATACTTTGACTAATTTTCTCATACATATTTTTAAAAGTTCAATTTTTGGATGAAAATACCTCTAGTGTGCAACTCTACTTCTTAGGCAATTTTCTTGCTTTTAAGATCATGAATGCATCAAAATGGAGAATACAACATGTAAAATGGGTCTTAAATGGTTAGATAAAGTGTATAAATAATGTGTCTTATCACCTGGTGTGAGGGAACCATTTAGAGGTAAACCTTAAAGCTCGGATATGGGTCTAGAAGGACAACCTATGGAAAGATCGAAATCAAAAATAGCATAGGAACTTCCTTAAAAGCCAAAGCTCGTGAAGAACAAGGGTAGGTTCATCATTCCACATAATGATGCGTCGCCCTAGTAATAGAGAATATAAGACACTACAAATTCCCATATATTTTAACATGTACCCAAAAAAGGTGCTTACAGCACAAATAAGCTGCTTAGAGATACTTCAAAAAGTAAAAAAAGTAGAACCTTAGGTAATGGCTAACAAGCAAGAGATCAACAAGTTTTAAAAAAAAAGGTCAATAGAAGATCAGAATGATAAAGAGGACAGCAAAAAAGAAATTGAAGAGTGAGATCAGCGAATAAGAAGGATCCATATAGGAGAGGTACCTTTAAACCTCTATTGTATAATTTCCTTAACCTTCTATTTGTAGTTAGCAAAACAGTAGGAACAAGTGCTTGGGATCAAGTTGAAATTACTGATACAGACACGGAATGAGTGGGGCCATATCAATATTGTCCTATGGAGCCAAGGGAGGATGAGGTCCTTGAATCATCTAAAGTACAGAAGACACTATAACTAGAAAGCACTAAATTAGAGCCCATATGTCAAATTACCCTACAAGCCATGGAAAGATCCTAGAAAAACCCAGTTTCAAGATGACACAGCACCTAAAACCTTTGTATATTAGGGCCCATTTCTATGGCAAACTAATGACAAGGATATTAGTTGATAGTGGATCAACGGTCAACATATTGCCAGCTTGAATAATGCTTAAGATGGGGTGAGATGAATAAGACCTGATTCCAACAAAGGTATCTATGATAACATTCATAAGGACTGCCTCATGGGTTCTAGGGGTGTTACCATTACAAGTAGACTTTAGTTCCAGGTCATCTTTAATAGCCTTCTTTGTATTCAGGACTACAACACAATATCAGGCCTTGTTAGGCCAAGATTGGATTCACACAAATGAATGTGTTCCCTCTTCACTTCACTAATGCCTCTCACATTGAAAGGAGAAGTAAAGGTGGCCTGGGCAGAAGATAGCCCATTTACACTAATCATAGATTTCACAAACACTATATACTATGACACAAATATGGGTCCCTTTACTTTTTATGGGGTTAATCAAGAGGGGGGCTTAAGAAGATTTTCCTCATACAACAAAGCAAGGAATATTGTCATGCCTTTACTGTAATAGAGGTAGGAGCCTATTATAGAACTAATAGATGATTAACTCTGAAAGAGGGAAGGCTATAGTAGCCATAGCCATTAAAAAACTTTGGTTGTATATATGGAGGAATGCTTGGAAGATTTCAGACTTGAAACATTAGGGGCCAAAGTTGTGTACAAAGAAAAAGTTCAAGAAACTATATAATTGCATGAGTTAGAGGCCTCACCTCTTAAGTTTAAGGATATAGCTCTAGAGGTATAGGACCCACTTGAAGAAGTTAATCTTGGATCCTTTATGGAGTAGAGGATTACTTATGTTAGTTTGCTTTTAACTTAAGAACAGAAAAATGCCATGATACAAGTGTTTAAGGAATTCAAGGATTGTTTTGCATAGGATTAGAATTAAATGCCACAGCTATGAGTATGAATGCGAGCAAAGGCATAAGGTAGTTGAGAATAAACATGTCAAATATAGACATTGATCTTTTCATATGTAGCACATCTAAGCTTTTCAGTACCTCTTCAAAATAGGGCTTTAAGAGTAGCATCGGGCCCCTCTTAAGGAAACCTCAATAGTATCTTTTGCCTCTTTAATAAAGAGATCATTGTCAAGCTTAAGCACTATAAAATACATACTAGGAGATTAGAGAGAAGGAGGTCGAACCTGTTAATAAATAAAACAAGTAGTCAGATAAGACAAAAATGTTAAAAGGAAAGTAAACATTAGAGGTAAAATAGCTCACCTCAGAAGTCACAGGAGACTTCCCTTTGTCCACAGACTTCCCAACCCCTGATGTTGAGACCCTTCTAGCCCTATCAGGTGATAAAGGATGTTATTCACTTGTGATACTTTACGTGGGCAGATAAGCCATTGGGATTGACTCAGGAGAAACATTAGCCACAATATGATCTAAGCCTGGGCTAGCTTATGAAAGAGTAGGAGTAGGCTTTATCACAAAAAGAGTTAATGGCTCGAGCTAGGAAAGAGGACCCTCTAAGGGCTCCTTAACCATAAGTCTTTTAGCTACCCTCCGAGCGCTACTTGAAAGAGGAAGCAGGTTGGGCATCCTCATATCATCATCTCCTTCTTCGCTAAGGTCAACCATGAAGACACGATGATGACAGCACCTTGATGGGTTCACAGTAGTTGTAACGTCATTTCTAACATTACCAAATACATAGAACACATAACACGGAGCAATATTATGATAATTAAGATTTCATTAATCCCATAATTAGTTATCATAACCCAAGGATTAAATGAATGTTTAAGAAAGGGGGATCCCAAGAAAAACCCTTTTCAAAGATGGTTCGAGCTTAAACAATAGTTTAAAACAGTAAATAAAATAACAGAAGCATAGGAATTTCATCATGCTATAAAAATAATAAGCAACAATATATTTTTAGCTATATAGGCACAATGCACCACTATATAGTGTATTGTTCGTCATGGTAGATTACATAGAGGGAAACATTCCGCTCTGTACCTCATGCCACGGTGCGCATGCCCATGACAACTCTTTGGGCTAACTTTCGGAGCTCGCCATTTCATTGTCTGATGTTCGATTTGAGCGATTCAAGTGTCCACACGTAACTCTTAAGGCTACCTAGATATTAACATTGATCTTACACCCAAACACTAAACCAAATTAGATTTGGACACCAGAACCCAAAATGACTCATTTTCTTTTAAAAATCACTACTGAGGTGTCCAATCTCCCAATCCAAATGCCAATA